TACAGAAATATCAGACAAAACCAGATCAAAGGATGATTTACAAAATAACCAGACAGAATTCTTTAAGTTAATGTCAACAAACCCAAAGAATGCTCATGCTGTCCTAGATCAAAGATAGAGATAAAAGAATTAATTGTAATGAATTAGACTGAACCCTAAATCCAGGAGGAAAGAAAAGAATTATCATGAAAGATATTATTGAAATATAGTAATCAGCAAAATTTATTGGTTTATATATTAAAGTACTGATTCATTATTAGATGTTCTGATTTTGGTAACTATTCTCTGTAATTATGGAACACAATGTCTTTGTTCTTAGGAATATACAATGAAGCAGTCAAGGGAAAAGGGTATAATGTCTATAATTAGCATTCAAACGGTTCAGGAAAAAATATTTCTGAGAAATTATAAAGCAAATATGGCAAAAAGTTAATAATTAGTGAATCTGAGTGAACTGTGCATAATACTTTTCCTGCACCTCTTCATAAGTCTAAATTTTTTTTCAATACTAAAAAATGAAACAATAAATGAGGGGGCACAACAGGGGCTTCTGGTAGTAATGGTAATATTCTGTTTCCTGTTCTATATGAAAACTTTTAAAAACTAAGCAAAACATTCTTATATGTTCAATATTAACATTTTATTTAATTATGTCAATTTGCTGGGCAGTACAGAAAGTCAGAAATCCAACATTTCTACTGATAAAGTACAAAGAACCATTAAAAAATAATTTCTATGCAAACATTCTATAAGTCACCTATATGTTAATAAAATAATCTAAGATTTTAAAAAAAGAAATAGTGACTACGTCAGTAGTACACCTCATTACTGCTAAATACTTGCTATGTGGTCTCTATTATGACTTAAAAGACATTCACTGTCTTCCCCCTGAAGTCAATAGAAGCTTACTTTCAAAAACATCTAATTTCCACAAGTACAGAGAATAAAACAGATACACTTTGTAAATATATAAGAATAAAAAACAAATATTTATTTAGAGAAATACTTCACAGTGGCTGAAAAGTATCCTTTTGATCAAGTAAAGATGAATCCCGAAAACAAATTTTTCTAATGAGCAATGAATACTGTTCTCTGTATCCAAAAGTGACTACTGACATGCTGGGTTTGTTTCTACAAGCTGCGGTGGCAGTATCCATCCTTTTCAGGAGTAGTGATGAGTCAGCTAATTCTTTCAGTCCTTTGCTGCACCCTCTGTACTGTGTCATACCCACCAGTGTCCCTTCATCACTCCTTGCATCCATGATCCATCATTATAATCATGCTTTCAAGTACACTTTCCTTGCCCTCTCTATATCCCTTTGTCATACATGTCTGGGAAAACTTCAACTCCTGCTAAATCCAATTCCAGCCACTCTTCATGAACACATGAACACCTGACAATGGAAAGAGGAACATACCCAAACAAGTTGACTGGTTTCATTTCAACTTATGGCTATCAACCTCAAGAACAGTTCGGAATGTAGTCTCTTTTCCTGTGTCACCAATTTTTCACTCTTCTAACTCATTCCTATCAGCATATAAAAATGCTGTGATTTCTCCCATCTGGGGGGGAAAAAAGCCCTCACTTGACCCCACATTTCCCTCCAGGTGGCAATCCTACTTCTTTTCCCTAGTTTATTCATACCCCTCTAAATAACTATTTCATATCATCTCCTCTCCTCTCAAATATTCAATACTCCCTTCCATTATTCTCACTTTTACCAGATAAGTCTGCATCCTATGCTGCTGGGAAAAATTGAAGCAATCACAAAGAGAACTTTCAGTGGTTCCCATCATTATTAACTATCCACCACCCTCACCAACCCCCACACACCTTCACTGAATCCTGGCCTTCCTCCTATTGTTGTTTACTCTTTAGGTTGTGCCTGATTCTTTTGTGACCCCATGGACTGTAGCTCACCTGGTTCCCCTGCTCATGGGATTTACCAGACAAGAACACTGGAGTGGGCTGCTGTCTCCTACTCCACGGATCTTCCCAACCCAGGCATAAAACTTGTGTCTCCTGCGTTGGCAGGAGGATTCTTTACCACTGAGCCACCAGGAAAGCTCTCCTTTCTCCTACTACAATAAATGAATTGTCTCTGCTTCTCCTTAAGGTTAAATCCTTCACTTGCACACTACATCCACAAGCTCTGACCTTAAGGAGATTGCTTTAACAACGGTACTTTCTCCTTTCTTACATCATTAATTTTCCCTTCTAGTAACTCATTCTCATAAGTATAAAAACATGTTATAATTCCATTTCGGCAAAAGCAAACAAACAAAAATCTCCTCCCAATGCCACATTTCCCTCTAGATACTGTCAAAAGTATCCCAAATTTCTCTCTAGATACCCTCAAAAGGAAAACAAAAAACCTCAAAAAAAATTGTTCATTCTAATCCCTTGTTCTAGTTGTCTCATTCTAATTCCTTCCTCCTATGTTGTCTCCTGAATCCGTTCCAAAAATTCTTTCTAAAATCTTCATCTTAAACCACTTTAAAACGGTTCTGGTCAGAATCACCACAACTTTTGCATTCTAAAATCTCAGTCAGCCCCAGTCCTCTTATTCCTGGTCAGTCAATATTATTTGATAGTTAAACATTCCTCCAGCTTTGTTCCTTTTTAAGATGTACACTGGGTTTTCTTCTTATTTCATTAGTCATTCATCTCTACTAAGTAGTCTCCTCTTACTTACTGGTCCATCCTTATTTTTCTGACCTGCATGGAAGTGCCTCAAGGCTCTGTCCACTTATTACTTCTCTATTAATACTTAACTCTTTCATAGTTTAATTCAGTTTCATAGACTCAAACAAATATTATTTAAACACTGATCATTCCCAAATTTGTACCTCTATTCTATACCTTTCCCCTCCACTCCAGATCCATTTATCCATTTCCCATGAAAATTTTATACTCGTAAATCTAGAAGACATCTCAATTTTATCATGTCCTAAACTGAACTTCTGACATTCTCCCTCCAAGTAATTTCTCCTATAGTCTTTTCTACCTCATAGAAAAATGATCTTTTTACGTTTGAAATGTAAATAGTATCTGACTAGGTCTCACCATCTGCACCTTCACCACCTTGGTCCAAGTTACCATTATCTTTGCTAGATAATTGCTGCAGCCTCCTAACTGGCCTCCCAATTACTGCCCTTAATCCCTCTGTAATCTGAGCTTAATAAAGCAATTAAATTGAGACTTTAAAAACCCAAATCAGATTACTTCATTCCCTTGCTCAAAATCTGATGGAGACTCCCCATATATTTCATGTACAGGAAAAGTCAAACCCTTATAATGGCACAATGTCCTACCTAATTTGACCCAAAATTTTAAAGCGGGGTGGCGGGGGGGGGGGGGGGGGTGGGGGTGGTGGTGCATTAGTTAGAAGTGGGCAAAATACAGAAAAACTGCTATTGATTCCATTAATCATGATAATGACATCTAAAAATAATTATTATGTATGCACTGCTATTCTAAACACCTTCACTAAATTAATCCATTTAATATACATTGAGGGTATTATTGCAATATTACTGCATTTTGGAGAAGGCAATGGCACCTTACTCCAGTACTCTTGCCTGGAAATTCCCATGAATGGAAGAGCCTGGTGGACTGTAGTCCATGGGGTTGCTAAGAGTCAGACATGACTGAACAATTTCCCTTTCACTTTTCACTTTCATGCATTGGAGAAGGAAATGGCAACCCACTCGTGTTCTTGCCTGGAGAATCCCAGGGACGGGGGAGCCTGGTGGGCTGCCGTCTATGGGGTCGCAGAGTCAGACATGACTGAAGCAACTCAGCTGCAGCAGCAGGTTTACTGCATTTTACAGACTAAGAAGTGAAAGAACAAGAAGACGGGGGATGTACCCAAGAACAGGCAGCTTCTAAGTAATACAGCCAGAAACGGAACCAAAAGTCTGGCCCTGGAGTCCAAGCTCTTACACTATTTTAGAGTACAGAACACCACAAACTCAATGAACGAAAGTTGGTCTCATGTAAAATATGAAAAAAACAAATACTATATGTTGAAAGAACCAATATTCCTCACTTATCATAACTTATTAGACAAACATTTTATGAGATCGCATTCAGTTTAAAAAACCTCATCTGGAAACATCCACACTCGTAATTGTTACGCTCAGAAAAGACAGTCAAAATCTGAGATGGCTTTATGACCTTTAATTTTGGCTGAAAGCTTTAAAATTTTCTTTTAGAGCTAAACTACATGTTTTCTTCCTACACTCATACAGTATGAAATATCATAATGACAGTAAACTACATAAAATAAGTAAATAACACAAAAAGTAAATGATCTGGCTGAGAACTAGTCACAATTGAGTTATTGACTTGTTTCAGGGTCATAGAAATAACTGATTTAAGTCATCTTTATCTAATCCAAGATTAACCTGCTGACATCAAACTTCCCTAATTTTAGCTTACCCTTTATCATTTTCCTAGTAACAGGCTAATCACGTGACGCTTAAGTTAAAAGGACGTTTGCCAAAATATTTGCCTCCTACAATTGGTACCCTATGCAACTTAAAGTTAGGTATTATCACAACAAACCAAAGAAAGAAAAGAAAATGGCTTTAATTTTGAAAGATTCCTCAGGCTAAAATTTCTATGATGTTTTACTAAAATCAGAAAACATCTTTAGGGCAGTAGCTCTAGACTTAGGATGTTCAATAATTCTTTATGAAAGAATAAGCACAGAAAACAGCAAGGCCACTGTTATCACCACCTTTCTGGAATATGAGATTATTGTCTCTTTGTATATACACATATAACTATACTCCATGGTTCATTCCTTGCTTACCTAGATTTTTCAGATGAAATAGCACTCAGCAGAGTTTTTCACAAAGAATTCGTTTTGTACTAAAAACCAAATGGAAGGTTCCAGTTTTTTGATGTATCATTTGGAGATTTTATACTTTACATAGCACTTAAGGTGAAGAAACCAATGCCTCCAAAAGCTAATCATCAGTGTCCTACTAACCTGCTTGGTGGGAGTCCAGTCTTGAACAAAGAAGGAGGAGAAGTGAACTCTGCTTTTGTAGATGGAAGCGCTGTTTCCTTCTCTGCATTTCCAGTTCTCCCCTGCTGTACCTTAAAAAAAAGGGTTATTAGCTTGTTTAATGCAACACTGAAAGATAAAACAGTAAAGATGTTGACATAAATTCATAATGTTTTATTTCAAATTAAATATGAAGAAAGTTTTGTTGCCAAATATGTAATAAAATTAAACCTATTTTAGAATAGCATTAAGTGAAAGGCACCAAACATAGATCGTGGGATCAAAATATTTCCAACTACTAAAGAGTTCAAATTAATGTCACTTAAAGTCCAATAAACTGTAACTCTTAAGGACTTCCATAAACTCCCTCAGATCACTATAAATACGTCCAAGATACTTGTTTAATACTCCATGTTTCAGAGTTCAAGAAAGGCCTTGGAGAATTCAGTACACCTAGAAGCTGGAAGTCAGTCATCTGCCTCCTTCATCTTTCTTCTTACTCTTTACATTCGGTTATAAACCAGTTATCTACTTAACTCCATAATTTCTCCCATATTTGCCCATCTGTTGTGCTCCTATCAGATCCTTGAGAACGGTCCAATCATATTCCTTAGATTGGTGAAAATCTTCATGCTCTTTTGCTTTCATACTCATCTTCCTAACTTAAAATCATAGTAATTTATTAAATTTAAACAAAGTTCAAGCTGACCTATACTTAAAAACATCTCTACTATCTTAGGCCCTATTTAAATTCTACTGCCCCTGTTCAGTCTAAATTCAGCATCACTCTCCTTCCCCATGAGGCAAAAGTCAAGAGAACTCAAGACACCTTGACTCTGCTATATTCAAACCACTCATTCAACTCCAGAAACCATCTCTCTCTCAAATAAACATTATGTGGAACTCACTTTCAAATAAAATATTAATGCTAAATCCTAATTATATAAGAGATGATGAGGATCAGCACCTAGACAATGAGGATAGAAAGACAAATAGATTTGATAGACATGTGACAGGAAAAATTCAGAGTGTAGTGACAGGGAAAATAAACATGATTTATTTGTTCAACATTTATTATCTACTATGTACCAGGAACGGGGACCACAGAGAGAAATACAACAAAATCCCATACTGTGGGGAAATACAGACAGACAAAGCATCAGAGCAATGTAACTGTTATGAAAAAAATAACTGGGATAAAAAGATCCTATGAGAACATAGAAAAAGAAATGTGCTGATCTTCCTGGGGATGTGAAGGATATTAAAAAATGACACTAAGGTCTCAAATACTCTCCTGAGCACCTAGCTTCTTACCATGTCTAACAAGCATCTCAGACTCATATGGACAAAACAAAGCTACTGACTTCCCTCTATCCACCAATCTGATCCTCTCCAAGTCTTCCTCCTATAAGTAAATGGCACCATCATCTACCGAGTTGCTTAGTAAAAACAAAAACAAAACCTTAGCAATTAGCCAATATATCTGCACATCCGATATCAACTTTACCTTGACAATATATACCAAATTCAACCACTTATCATTATGTTCACTACTAAAATTCAGGTCAAACCCATCACCACATCTCAACTGTTCTGCTACGTTACCTGGACTCTTTCCTTTGATTTTACCTCTCTAAAATCCATCCTCTGTACACAGCCAAAGCAATCTTTGGTATGGGCCCTGCCTACCTCCCCAACTTATTTTAACAACATCCAATCACAATAGCCTTTTTTCTTCTTTTTAACAGATAAGTTCCTCCTTAATGTTGCTTTTGCACTAGATGGTCCTTTTGCTTTATAAGATCATCATGACAACCCCCTTGCAATCATTCAAGTACTGTTCAAATATTTCCTTGAAATGGCTAATCCCAGTCTCCATCGTGTCATCTCTATCACATTACTATTTCGTATTTTCTTCATAGAATTTCTTACTAGTGTCATTATCTAAAGTCCTCTTATTTATGTTTATTGTCTGCCTGCTGCCACTATAACATAGGATCTTGGAAAACATGGATGTCATCCAGCTCAAATCTATATCCTAATAGCCTAAATATATTGGCACGCAGTCAGTGCTCAAATATATTTGCTATGTGACTGGCTTTGGGACTTAGCTTAAATGTCACTTCTTTTAAAGTCATTCATAAGGGAAGCCCACTTGGAGTTTATAACAACATCATTTTTGCCATGATTTTCTAATTATCTTTCCCATTAAGTCAGATAATCTCTAAGACCACAAAATCTGTCTATAAATGCTTATTTCCTCTTTCCATTCGAACCTAAGAAACTTCCTCACACAGACAATGCTCAATTAAAAATTGGGAAGGAGGAAAAATAAAAACTGGGAAGGAGGAAGGGAGAAGGGTTGGAAAGAAGCAGGGAGTGGAGGGAAGAGAGTAAAAATTAGAGTATTTATAATACAGGAAAAAGTGAGAGAAGGTAACAGAAAGACATGGAACATTTTTAAACATGTAAAAATTGCTGTTTCCTAACTTAGTTTTCTTTTCTTGTTAATTTCTTCGTAATATACTCAAACAATTCTGAAAATCTTCACCATTTTAGCAACCCTCCTAATCAACTTGCAATAGCACTATCACCTTATCTTCAAGTTACACTCAGCATTAATAGACTCAAAACTTGTTTAGTCAGAACATACTGAGATTACTTTTTCCGCATGATCTAATATTTTAATAATAAAAGACTATAAAAAAGAGAAATAACTCTAAGACATCATGACTGATTTTATAAAACAAACTCAGAATTTATGTATCCAAAGAAAAGTTAACTGAAGTCTATAACCTTAAGAAGCTATTTAACCAAATTATCAAATTATGCCAAAACTTATTTTGTAAAATTTCCTTCAACTGCCCTTTACAGCATTACTTACAAGCTTAATATTACAAAATAATATCTAAAAATAAATTGTGAAACACCCAAATAAAGGAATATGCAACTATTTATAAAGTGTTATTTATCAAAAAATTTTATTAACCGAGAAAAATACCATATGTTAAGATGAAAAAATAAAAGTAGAAAACCACATAAATTATTACAATTTTCTTTCAACTCACAAGAACAAAAATATTGGGAAGACAACAAAAGTCAGGACTTTGAAAGCAGATGAAAAAAAACTAACTGAGCAAACCAAAGAATCTGAATCCTAAGTCAGCAATGAGAAAGCAAAGACACACTGATTTTCACAGCAAGACCTGCAAAGATTCAGGAACTGACAACTCTAGCTGCCAAAACACTTCAACCAGTCAAGTATAAACATAAACCCTCGGGTAGGAGACTAATGTCTTCTCTGAAAACTCAGATTTCAAAAACAAAAACCCAAAAAAGCAAAAAGATAAAGATACTAACCATCAGAGACTGAAAAATGCTTAACCCTACAGTCAAGTGTACAATCAACAAGTTCTACCCATAGGCACAGACCTCTCAATTGTCTTTTCAGTGGCCCACACGCTCATGAGTTAGTAATGGCCAGGGATCAACAAATATTGAGAAAAGTCAAAGGCGAAAGCCAAAAACAACAAACTTAAAAAATCAACTTGGAGAAAACAGACTATGCACAAAAAAAGAAAGCCTAACAGAAAATATCATTAAGATATTCTGAGAGACAGAGGGAGAAAAAACACTGCATGCTTGAGTCAGAACAGGATGCTAGGGGTGTCCCTAGTGGTCCAGTGGCTAAGAATCCACCTTGCGATGCAAGGGAAACCAGTTTCATCCCTGGTTTGATCCCTAGTCCAGGAAGATCCCACATGCCACTGAGCTATTGAGCCTAGAGCCTGTGCTCTGTAACAAAAGAAGCCACCACACCACTAGAAGAGTAGCCCCCACTTGCTGTAACTAAAGAAAGCCCACATGCAACAACAAAGACTCAACCGCAGGTAAAAACTAAAAATACATATTTTTTTACAGAAAAGAATCGATACTACAGTTAATTACTGAAGAAAAATCTTCTTATATATTAAAAAACATAACAGTAGAAATGAAAAAGTGAATAAAAGCACTCTGAAGCCAAAGAAATCTCCAGATAATGGAAAACAAAGAGATAGGAAAAGAAAAAGGAATCAGCATGAGACCCCATTTTTGAATAAGAGGTCGAAAAGGCAGATGAAGACAAAGTAAAAATATAACATAAGAAAATACCCCAGAAATGAAGGATTTATAGTTCCAGATTAAAAAGGTACAAATAAATGCTTAGTACAATGGATAACAGACCGACACATCTTAAGAAATTCACAATGGTGACAAAGCTCATACATGCTTCCAGAGTGGGGGGTGGGGTGGATGGGAAACCAACCTATGCAGGTGTGCACACACAAACATTAATATTTTAAGAGAAGGCTGTGGTCAATTTTTCTTATACATATCATCCATTCTTACTAGTCACTTTTTTCTTGCCCTCACTCCCAATTATATAATTATACAATTGTTATACTCAATTGACTTTATACTGAAGTGTACAAAAAGACTTTAAGAATGTGAAAACATTGATAAATCACTTGAGACACTATAATAAACACACGGTGGTTCATTTGTACAGTGAAATGGCAACCCATTCAGAGAGTCCCAAAGAGTCTGACAGACTTAGTGACCAAACAACAACAGCAAATCTACTTGTTAGTATGTTAGAAAATTTACTCAATAAAAAGTTTAAAAGTTATTTTAAAGATGCTGATTGGCTGTCCCTCAGATAACTAAGGTTAAAAAAAATTTGTATTAGATATAAAAATAACTTTAAAAACCTGTCCTTTTGTTCATTCACCAGTATTAGTCTGAGTCCTTGTTCATTTTGTACCTATAGTACTCCAACAGTTTCCTATCTGGACTCTGACACACATTTCCCCCCTTTATACTCTATGGGCCACCCTGGTTACCAGTTCTTTTTTCTGAAAACCAGATTTGCTTATGCTATTTTTATACCCAAGAACCTTAAAATGGCTTCCTACTACCTATCCACACATCTGTAGGTTAGTTGCAGATTAGTCTTTCACATCATTTCTACCATTTCCAGACTTCTCTCCTGTATCTCTCATCGATTCTCAACTCTTCTTTCACACTATCTGGTTTTGTTCACATTGTTCTCTCTGCCTACAATCTTCTCCACTCTCCTCTCTTGTAGTAATGCAAGCTTACTCATTTTTCATCACATCCCGTTTGAATTCTTCTGGACTCTGCAATGTAGGATAACCCACTCTTGTCTCTGAACTCCTTACTGCGTTTTGTCAGTCACCAATATAACACTTCCACAATACAATATGGTTATCAGTTTGCATGTAGACACCACTCAGACCATGAGCTCCCTGAACACAAAGACTGTTTTACTGTAGCACAGGGCTGGGCACAAGGAAGGCATTCGGACATGTCAGTAAAGTTGGGCAAGTTTTTTTCCTTCTATCTCCTTCTCACCAATCCAAATAATTACAGTTCGAAACGGTAGAGAAGTGGACGAGAGCCTGGACTTTATTCAACTACACCATACACTGCCAGCAAAACAGTATGACCTGTAAGTCGCTCTCCTCGCCACGAACAGGCAATAGTTCCTCCCACTCATCTTCCTGGTTTCCAGGCTTTCTAACATCACACTGCACCCTACAAAGCCACATCTTCTACTCTCCAAATAGAACTAACTCTCTGATCCAATAAGGCTGATTTCTTAAATAATCTGACTACACCTATCAAGTTCAAGTCCTTCTTCTCTCAGAAGTAAATAAATCAGAATGGAACAATCATCTCCTCTCACATGATCAAAAGAAACTTCAAAATAATTTTTCAGTAGACTGTATGTATAACTTATTCACAATGGCTACCTTCAACACCCTAGCAGTTTCTTCTTATTCTTTGCTTTTAGAAGTTTACTGCAAAAAAACACAAAGTGTACAAAAACTGAAAGTTTAGAAAGGCAGTTCTCATTTCTGTTGGAAGAAAATGAAAAGCACCATTGCAAACAAACTATATCCTCATCAAGATAACTTCTCTATTCATTGCAATTGTAAAAGACAATATATTCAATGTCTAAATAAGTAGGTTATCACCAAAAAGAACTTGATGACCATTTAAAATAAGAGAGACATCAAACACTTTCAAAATATTTACAGCAGAACAAGAACCAAATACTTACCCAAAGTAGGATGTAAATTAAAATTAAATTCTCTATACAGAACTGTGTCCAGCAGAGCGGCTACATCTGCGGATATAGCACATGCATTGCATAAGGCAGTATTTTGAAGGACAGGGCTATAAGCCCCAAAAGGGACACAGAAAAGTTCCTGCCCATAAAAATTCCCTGAGTGTATAGCTCAAACTAAAAGCCACTACTGATCTTCATCCCAGTGTCACTCAACACAAGAATCAAGAATTAAGACTTAAAGTAAAGGAAGAATTTACAATCAGGTTTTGAGAAAAGTTTGTGGGATGCTGTGTATCACACAAGTATGAAAATATATTATTATTCTTTGGAATGATCATATGGAATAGAGAAGCAAAAAGTCAGACCTGATACCCAAGTGGTATCAACCTACAAGTTCCTAACTTGCTCCTTTTAAGTATTCATTTAAAAAATCAATGACTTTATCCTAATTCTGTTGAGTCTTTTCTTGGCAACTCTCAAAGAATACCTAAGATTCTTGAGATACCTTAAACTGTAAGAGACATCACATCAATGATTTCAGTGTCACACAAATAATACACGGTATGCCATCTACCTTACCATTTTTTAACAGAAAATCAGGAAAAACAAGTCTCCAATTCTGATAAAAATTACAGCAGGATCTACAATGAGTGCTTAGCCTGTTGGCATGAACTTTTATATCCTACAAACAAACATACACTCGACTCAAAATAAAATCACAACATATAGCAAGAATAGTTTTACTTTGCATTTGTTAGTATAATAGGCTATAATTCACATGCTTGCAAAAGTGGAGATAAAACAACAATCAGCAAATTTGTAAGTCACCAGGAAGCTGAAGATTTGGAAAAAAGGTAGCTATTTCCATTTTAATCTTGTCCCTCAAGTAGTGGTATGGGAGCAGACTCAAGAACAAAAAATGAGAGCAACCAAGGATAATTTACTAAAATTCACCTTAAAAAGATTGAATCTGCCATCTTGGATCTCTGCACCTGGTGTAACTTCCATAGTACAGTCTTCGGCCTAAGTTAAATAACATATTCCCCATTAAGATACCACATAATTTTTAATTGACAGGCCACATAAAGACAAACTAGCTGTGGCTAGTCTGCAACATGAAACTAAAAACATCAGATAATCATTAATATGAAACTCTGAAAGGGAAGGAAGGGAAAAAAACAAACACGGTAAAATGGAATTTTTAAACTATCATATAGCATTTAACCACCTTTATAGGGAAAAACTGATGTATTTAGGGAATAAAATTGGGACAGCAGAAAAGGCTGGGGTATTTTGGAATATTTACTAATTACCGTAATTTTATTTGTAGTAGAGGTAACTGGTATAACTTCAAGCCCCATTCGTATCCTCTTCTGTTTTTCACAGTAAGCCTTCCAGGTATCTTCATTAAACCCGTAATTAAAATAATCAGAAAGATCAGCACCTAAAGATAAAACACACTTTCAGTGTACAAATGATTTCAATTCTATTTTTATGTAGTACATAAAATATAATAAACTGTAAAAATACAGACTTCTATTAAGTCTTATCACCTCTTCTAATTTTACCAATTCTCCTAATACCATAAAGCAACAGAACTATACATAGTTTTGACCAAAATTATTTCCTCTAGAAATAGCATTATAATAAAAACAATGAGTCTACTTTTATATAATGCTATGTCACCTGTAAGATTTAATAATGTAAGTCATTATTACTTGTGTGCTTAAGACAATAAAAACTACATTTAAAAAATAATATTCTATGCTGGAAAAAACTTTTCTAATGATTGTTTATACTGATGCTGAAAAAAATTTTGCTAATGATTATTTATACTAAAAATTTTTTCAAACTGATATAATCCACAATAATCTTACCAGGTTTACGCCATGGTTTATCTTCAAAAGAATCCAAGTCTACCTCCAAGAGTGGAACTCCATTAATGCTTCCAGGTGCATCAAGATCTACTCCTTTGACTTTCGTTCCTACTTTAAAAATTACAAAATGGTAAAGGAACCATATTAGTGAGTGATACCACAGACAAACAAAAAACAATGACACCTTTTTACTACTGCTAATGCTAGCACTAATTGTGGCAAAGATTTCACACTAAGTAGTAACGTTTCCACAAGTAAAAGTGAGGTCAAAGTTTATGGTGTAGTTATAAGATAAATAGAGAGATTAGAGACTTCTCATTTATAATAAGGGATTCCTGTACCAAGAAACTTCCCTGTTTTAAATCATTATCTTCATACATTCTGTGAGCTAAGAAAGATTTCTACCTTTTAAAAAAGCTGTAGAACAAACAACAAAAACACACACATGACAGGAACCCTACATGACCCACACAGCCTAAAGTATTCATTAACTAGCCATTTACAGGAAAGTGCCCACGATACATGGTCAAAACTGTTCTTTTTAACTGAGCTGTAATAACTAACATCTATTCATGACTTATTCAGATATATGCCCGATTTTCCTATTGATGCAACTGCGAAAATAAATTTACCAGTAGTTCCATAAACTCTTCCTCCTGTCTTGATGTTAAGATTTACAGGTGCTGTACCGTAACTCCTAAAAGCAAAATAATAAAAATTATCCTGAAATGCTGAAATGAAAACAGTAAAATATTCAGTATGTACATATAAATTATATACCCACATATTAACTGGATAAACTGACACTAAACTCAAACATATTGGAAAATGTTTTAAATTTTCAAAGTCTGTCACTTGCTTAATAAAAGATAAAAAGAATTTTTTTTAAAGTATGATTAATTTTCCATCTTAAAAACCTACCTGTAAATAATTCAATATTCCACTGTTACAAACTAACCAGAAATTTGGCTGGAAAGGAAAGAATAGTTTACATGCCTTGTTTTTACTTCCTCATCTCCTACTCATTCATTTGGACTTGAGAAAACTCACTGCTTCTTGCTTGCCTAATAATGTTCATCTTTTGTCTCCAATGTGTTAATTGTGACACCTAGGTTATTCTGCCTAAAAAAAGTAAGGCTATATTCAATAAAATACTCAAATATTTGTATAAAGCTCCACTGCTATAAATGTAAGAAATATAAGGTAGTCCAAACAAAACTGTTACTATCAAGGAGGACCATCATTACCAACTTGAAAGGTTTTATCATCTCATTGACTAATTAATTATCTAATAAATGCTTCCGCCCATGGCTTAGCGGGTAAAGAAGCCGCCTGCAATGCAGGAGAGCAGCAGGCGCCATGGGTTCCCTTCCTGGGTTGGAAAGATCCCCTAAAGAAATGGCAACCCACTCCAGTACTCTTGCTTGGGAAATCCCACGGACAGGGAAGCCTGACAGAGTCATCGAAGGGGTCGAAAAAGAGTCGGACACAACAATAAATGCTTGAGTACCAACAACGTATCACATATAGTTCTAAGCTAAAGAGAGAGGATGAGGAACTGGACAAATACGGTTCCTGCCTCTTAATACTTACATTTCAACAATCAAGTTCAGCACAGCAAAAGCACTCTGAGATATCTATATAAGATATACAAAAGTCCCAGCTATTTGAAAGTCAAAGTACAAAAAATAAGGACTGTCTTCAAATGGTCCTCTAAGAGAACTGCTAAAGGATAAAGCAAAACAGTATTTATGGCTTACCAGAGTTCATTACATGAAGTTCTTTACTTCCCATCCAGCTACTTTGCCTTCCCCACTGTGCCTTTTAAAATGTTACTTTTCTTTTTTAATGCCACCAAGCCTTTGCATTCATTGTGCGTAAAGAAGCTTAGCTGTCTGGAAAACTGTATTCAAGTAAATCTGACACCAATCAATAGCTGCCCCGCCACCATGAGATCTCAGGCTTCTCTAGGGGCTAGATCTTACGTACCTGGATGTCTAAAGGAACCTCAAATTAAATGTACCAAGAAATTTTATTTTAACCTGCTCCTCCCACCATACCCATATGTGGTAATACACTGTTATGTATACAATGAACTCATCTAGAAATCTCCAAGTCACTGAGTCTTTTACCTCCCTTTCCGTCTACAGCCGCCCATTACCGCGTTATCTCCATTTGCTCTTTACTCACACATGTGAGATGATCCCACCCGCCCCTGCAGACTGCGGCTGCTCAGCGCTGATCATCAGCCCTCATGCACCGTCACTTCAAACCTACTGGCCTGTCTAGCACATCTCAACCGCTTCTGCTAGAGTTTTATTTCAAATGTGACCTACCCAGTAACCTTGAAAGGTTCCAGGATGACATAGCAGAAATGTACTAACTTCCCTCTTCTGTGGTTTAAAGAAGCAACCCTTCTCATCTATGTTATTCTCCAGCATTCTGATTCCTCTAAGTCATGCTTCCACTACATCTAAGTAGCTTCCTCTGCCAAAGCCATCAGTCCATTTCCTTCTGTCTCAAGAATTATTGAAACAAATTCAAATACTACCACCTCTAGAATATTCTCTTCAACACATGTAGACTTTTAGCAACCGTTCTCTCAAACCTTTTAAATCACTGTACATGTTTCTGGCTAAGTACTTACACTGCTTAGCTAGAAAGTGTCTGCTCACATGTCTGTCTTCCTCGCTACTTTTGATAAACAAGAACAGTTTATATTCCCATCATCAATTAAAAGAATGTCAGACAAGCTATCTTTAAAAAGTATTTAATGAGTAAGCAGATGAACTTCAAAGACATAGCTGAGAAGCCACTCTTCTATACAAGGTAAATTATTCCTACCCTAAGATTTGCTTTTCTTCCTACCTTACTTATAGATACAGTAAACTCTGTGACAAAAAGTATGTTACCAACAATTCTAGTTTTTACTTTTTTAGCAGCTAACAATAAACCAATTTAGCACTGTTCCTTAAAAACAATTTGCTCTTTAAATTTGCTTCTGAAAACACTGCACAAAGTAAATATTCATCAAATTTCATTTTCTCCTTGGCTTTCTTTCAGTTTTCAATGGCTATATCTTGAGATAGCAAAGTTTAAAAAGCTTTATACTCTCCAGAAAGATCTGTAAGTTAGTTTGAAATGCATTAAAAAACACAAAAGAAAAGATGGACTGATGAGTGGGTGGAAGCATGGAGGTAGGTAGTAGATAGACAGGTGATACAGCAAACACAGCAAAACATAAATTATATAATCCAGCTGATGAGTAAATGGGTGTCCACATCAATTCCTTAAACTTCTTTGAATGTTTGAAAATTTTCATGGTCAAATGTTGAGGGAAGAAAAAAGTTCAAACACAACTGTGTTTTTTAACATGCAGTCTATTTACTAAATAAACATCTACTAAATACCATATGTAGGACAATGTAAGAAATAGGAAAATTCATAAACCATGGTTTCTACTCAAAGATTTCAGAGTCTAACTGTGATAAACATGCAAACATAACTACAATACATGAAACTGCTATAAGAAATAAAGTTCAAAAAAAGAAAGAAAGAAAGTTCAGATAAAGTACTATGGGAGTCTATGTGTATTTAGTATTTGTATGAAACTCTTACCCCAAAATTGGTCATATTAATACAAAATAATCACCATTTCCTTTAATTCTTCTATACTTGCAAATACAAATAATTTTAGAGAACAATATTTACTAAAAATGCAATGAATACTACAGTATTATTTTAAAGTGCTCCTTCTGTGTAGTGCAGATAAAAAAGAAAGTCAAAGTGTTAGTCACTCAATTGTGTCTGACTCTTTGTGACCCCATATAGACTGCAGCCCACCAGCAGGACTGTAGCTCCTCCTGTCCATGGGATTCTCCAGGTAAGAATACTGGAGGCGGTAGACCCTCCCTTCTCCAGAGGATGTTTCCAACCCAGAGATTGAACCCAGGTCGTCTCCTGCACGGCAGGTGGATTCTTTACTATCTGAGCCCCCAGGGAAGCCCAGATAACAAGGGCCTATTACCATAAAGGCTTACTAACATCACAAGCTCAACACTAATCATTTAAGTGGGAATGAGAACATCAAACATTACCCTAACATGAATCATTTAAATCCTGCCCCCCCCCAAAAGTTGCTAGGGTCTTAAAATTCCACAAGCAGTCATTATCACAATGCAAAACTAATCATGACAACTGAATAACCTTTAAGCTTCCTGAAACAACTTCAAAAAATTTCTCGACTAGATAAAATATTCAGAAATATTTATGTATATATTGTTCCATTTCAGGTAAGACTGCCTAATAAACCATAGGGCAATTAATGAAAAGTTTATTTCCAATGCACTAGTACCACAGTATACATCCAAACTGAAAAGCACAGAAAAAATGTCAACTCTTATTCTACCACCATAACAAAATCACAAGCCATACTTTATTCCTCGGCAGTCCATTCACTTGCTCCAGCTTTACAGACTATAGACCCTGAGACATATTGGCATAAACAGCTCTCAGGATTATTAACCACTTGAAAAATACACTATAAAAAGCAGAAAGAAGTACTTTGGGTATTGTTTTTATTGAACAAAAAAATTAAAGAACCTAAACTCACGTCTGGAAAAGTAATAAAATGTTAAAAACAATATAGATGCGAACAACAATTTAAGGTTGTCTAATTCTAATTAAAGAATCTGTGGCACTCAATTAATTTGTAAAAACACTTCAAGAATAAAAAACTGCTTCTTCCACACAAGTTTACCTAACTTTATATTTAAGGAAAAAAATTTCATTCTGAAATCCCTTTACATCATGAGATGTAACTAGATGCACATATGCATGCCAAATCACTTCAGTTGTATCTTGACTCTTTGTGATCCTATAGACCATAGCCCTCCAGGTCCTCTTTCCATAGGATTTTCTAGGCAAGAATACTTGAGTGGGTTGCCATGCCCTCCTCCAGGGGATCTTCCCGACCCAGGGATCAAATCCGTGTCTCTTATGTCTCCTGCACTGGCAGGCGGGTTCTTTACCACTAGTGCCTCCTGGGAAGCCCTATAACTGATATATAATACTGTATTAACTTTAGGTTTACAACAGAATGATTTGATATATGTATAAGTTGTCAAAATGATTACAGTAAGTTTAGTTAACATCCATCACCACAGATAGTTAGGAATATTTTTTTCCTTGTGACAAGAACTTGAACCTACTGTCTTAGCAATTTATCAGATGAAATTTTAATAAGAATTCATATCCTGGTCAGATGGAAAATTGTAAAAACAATGGAATCAATCACTAATTGCCTGAATCAGGCACACTGCCTTTGATTTAAGCACATACAACTGTTACTTAATAATAACTCACCCATACTGTGGTGCTCCCGTTTTAATGTCTCCTATAGTGACGTGAACATCGTCCTCATCATCATCGCTGTCGCTGTCACTATCATCTTCAGTCTCAGTCACTTTCTACACCAAAAAACCACCACAAAATGCACTCATTAATCCACTTCAACATTTGAGACTGAAAAGCTAACTGCTTTGCATTTTTTGAGCTCCTTTCAAAGGAAAAAGTTATAGTGCTGCTGCCCATTTCAACTCATTTACAACTCAGACGTTTTACATGACAAAAGGATAACGATGTTAAGTAAAAGTTTTTTTCATCGTTGTCTTTTTGTAAATAACACCACATGTATTTTTCCTATTAAGAACTGTTGCTCTTAAAAAAAGATCTAAGGCAACATACTAAAATATCTAGAAGACAAACTTAAGAAAATTTGAGGAATTCTTAACAGAAAGAACATGAAGGTAAAAGGAAAATAATTTTTAAGGGTCAAAGAGTCATGGTTAAAATCACCACAGTTAAAAAACAGCTCATTTACTCCTGACAATCATTTACACACAACAGAGGCCCTGCATGCAAATGACTGAGGGAATACTTTGTTTCTATGAGTAAAAGTTGGGCCATATACAAAGATTTTATTTTGACTCTAAAAGGCTGTTTTGTGCTTAGTCACATAACAGTAAAATTAAAAAGTAGAACTCATAGGCTAAATAGTTTTTTGTATACAAGTTCGAGCTAGCAGAATACAGTTTCTTTTTTACAGGATTAAAGCATGTTAAAATATTCGTAAGACCAATGATTTGTTCACCTACAAATCATCACTTTTAACAGGCATGAGGTCAGACTGTCATACACACACACATATATATATAAATAAAATAAATATATCTGCTAAAAACACTTGATAAACTCGGGCTGCAATACTCAATGTTTGCTTTGAAAAAACTATGCTATTATTATTAATAATAAACTGCTCTTTCTTAAAGCAATAAACATTAAGACTTTGTAAATGCTCCATTTCATCTAGAGTTTCCTCCCACTAATTCTCATGCAAAATACTGCAAGTAATGCTAAATTTGGGGTTTTTTCCTAGGTGAACGGGAAACTACCGATAAAGATTTTGAACAGAGAAGTAACCAGATCTCAAAGCCTTGTGTTACCGGTTTAGGTACGCCATTTTCAGGAGTTTCGTCTTCAATTCCAGATGGAGGATTGGCACTACAAGCAACAAAAACAAGCACACGCTTTGTATTACTTTTCTGAAGTAAGGATGGAGCACTGTAGTATTTTTAAGCTATGTCTGATAGTTTCTTGAAATTACTGTCTCTGTTGGATAAGAAAAAAGATGGTAAAAACCACTTGTCTTACTCTGCTATTCCTAATGCCTATACAAAACATGTACATTCAACACTGTAAGTAAAATGGAATTGCATCCACAGTTTGTTAATGATGCCAAATTTGCCGTTTGATGGTGGGGAACAATTTGAGTTTTTTACATTTTTAAAATATGCATCATACGTAATTTTATTTACCCTAAAACTACCTTGAACATTGAGTTACTGTAGGAACTGCCAAGGTCTATGTAACAGTTTCCTCTTTTCCCTGGTGCCAAAGGAACTCAGATGGGTAGTATGATCATATTAACCCAGTATTCAGTTAACACACAAGCTTCTTCCTCATTTTATAGTTTCATCTTATTGGATATATGTCCTTTGTCAAATAAAAAACAAATTTTAAGATTAAAAAAAAAGTTAATTTTCATTTAAGACTGCCTTCCAGTTTGGCAGTGAGGAGCTCCAGACCTAATTTTCACACATTACAAAAATACTTTTTTAAGGCTAGTTATTAACTTGAATTTGCCGTTATAACAAAATTGCTAAATAATAATAAACACTCTTATTTTCACGAGACTCAGCATATGACCGTTATCCATGAAGTCAAATTCCCAGTAGTGTAATGCAATTGGTTTTTTATACTTTTAACAATTATAATTTTTATAGTAGAAATTAACCATTAACCTCATTTTATAGATAAATAAACTCAAGTACAAGGCAACTCACAATTATTTAGGTAAAGCATTTCTAGGAAAAACGTCCAGATGTTGATAACAGTTCAAAGCTCTTTTCACTGAATTCCTGCTAATCTCTTCTAAACTTCACTTTTTGTCAAACAGTTTCTATAGGAATCAATTTAATCTCTAAAGTGGTTTTTTTTCCATAATACAATCTCCAAATAAAGCAAAATGAAGGGTAAAACCTGACAATTTATCTGTTAGATTTTCACTGTTCTACACTGGCCCAAGGAAAAAAATATGCAACTATAATTATTCAGTACATTTCTCAGAAACCAGCTGGGCTTGTTCTTTTAATGTCACAAAACAGTATATTTAACCGAAACTTGGATCAATGCAACATGACAATTAGAGACAGCCCAATGCAATGGTTAATGACAGTGTCAAGGATGGGTTAGTCACTTTTTTAGTCACAAAGAATCTGGGGAAAACTAATAGCAGGAGCTCGCTCATTTAGGGCAATGTAATATGTACCACTCTGAATACCAGAACACAGGTTTGTCAGGGTGCTCGTGCCCAACAGACAAGTTTTTATGCTCTATCACCATTAAAATGCTTGAAATGTGGTAAAATTATAAGCTTTCTCTAGAAAAATAAAATTTTAAAGATAGATCTTTTACTTTGGATGATATAAACAGCTTTCCAAATAAAGTGCTAATAAGAACCATGTAGACATTTTGACAATGACAAGGGAGGGAGAGGGCTTCCTCTCCAATCAATTTAATCAGGCTGTGTATTGAGGAAGTAAGAAATCAGAAAATAAACTTCAAGAATTGTAGCCAAGAACTCATATTAACAAAATAAAATAAAAATTAGTTCACAAAATCGTGTTATTATCCTTAATCTCTGGACCAACTGAAAAAGAGGATAGGAAGTAATATTACTTTCATCACTGTACACTACACAAATCCTAACTTTGTGATTTATTGAGATCAGGGTTAGGAACTGGTTTGGATATATCCATTTCAAAATTATATAACAAGATTTCAGATGATACGGTACTGAGTTAATAAAAAAAATACGTCCAAAATAGGGGTATTTTTAAGCGAAGAATAAGTTCAACACCCTCTAAGCGGTTTCCATTTCTCACTTCTTCCCTTCATTCACTTTTAAAAAAATAACAAACAGCAGAGACACAATTCATATACCATACAATCTACTCATCTGAAGCATACAACCAGAAGATTTTTAAGTATGAAGACAAAATACTGTATCTATCTAATTACATTTCCATCATCCCAAAAAGAAATCTTACAGATATGTAGTTGGTCTCCATTTTTTTCCTACCCCAGTAACTACTAACTACTTTGTGTCTCTTTGTATTTACCTACTGTGCACACTTAATATAATCAGAAACGCAGTACGTAGTCCTCTGTGACTGGCTTCTTTGACTAAGCATAATGCTTTTAAGGTTCACCTGTATTCTAATACATATCAGTACTTTATTTCTCTTTATTGGCAAACAGTATTTCAACTTATGAATATACCACTTTTCTAAATCTGTTCATTCATCATTTAATGGACATTTGGGTTACTTTCATATTTGGCTATTATGAATAATGTTGCTATCTATGAACATTCACATAAAACTTTTTGTGATGTGTTTTAATTTCTCTAAAGAATGTATCTAGGAGTAGAATTCCTGGATCACGAACATGTAGCAGCTCTACATTTTAACCTTTAGAGGAACTATTAGACAGTTTTCCATAGTAGCTGCACCATTTTACAACTCCACCATCAGATTTACAATTTCTCTGTGTTTTCAGGAGCACCTGTTACTACCTGTCTTTTGATTACAGCCATCCTAGTGGGTGTGAAGTGGCATTTTCTCCTCTTTTTAAACCTAAATATTCTTTAAAAGTTCTTTTTGCAATCATGCCTCCCCCATTATAAGACACTAAGGAATCTGGTCAGAGTAATGTCAGCGTGTATCCATGTACTTGTATCCATGAGCTATTTCGAATTTAGAGTAAGATTCTGGCTCCCTGATATGCTCAATAAATGACACTCAGACCTTTTTAATAATCTAACAAATGCTTTCAATCTTATAACAAATTCATTAATTCCACTTTTAATTTTAAATGTGAAATACTTAAGTTGTTAAGTTGTAAAAGTAGTTACCCAAATAATCCTTTATTTTTTAAAAAATTTAAACCTTTTTTCCTTAGTAGTGTAATGGTTATACTGTATACTCCACTACTGAGCTCACTTAAGGTTATGAAGTTACTTAATATGAAAAATATTCAAACCCTTACCTCAAAACCTTTTTGTCCCCTAGGCTATTAGTTAACAGAATTGGTATAAGATACATCCTGAAATAGTAATAAACCATAAAGGACTCAGTGTCTTCCAATCTCATTCAAGCCAATGATTACAATGAAATAATTTTGACAAGTCTGTTGACAGGACCACTGTACCACACAACCTTTGTTAAGTATCAACAAGAAATTTCACTAACCTGGCATTTTCTTCTTCTGGCCTTTCAACTTCATTTTCATCTACCAAAAAAAATACATACATAAATAAATAAAATTAACAAACAGATCACTCTTAAAGAAACCGTTATTATGAAAATCTGAAGGGATCATCACAAGCACTAACCTAGGTCCTTTGCCAAATCAGTGTGCACATGCACGTCCCATGGGCCTATAAGCACATCCAGAGTTAGATCACCTTATAACGACTTAACAAGATCATGTTCTTAATGAAAAGTAAATTAAAAAATCAACTTTCAAGTATTAAAGATTTCTAGATCTTTGTAAAAGAAACCCTACACAGTTACATTTCAAAGAGTACTAATAGTAAATCTTGCACCAAAGGTAATGTATTTTACAAGTTTACCAAAATAAAAATCTGTCAAAGCCACGTCAAGGAGCGGCAAGGTGCCCGAACATGCACTTTTACTAGACTACTCTGAAGACAATGGAGAATATGCCTTTTAGGCACTTAACAAACATTAACGTTCAAACTTAGCGCTGGTAACAGACGAAAAGGGACTGTGACTTCATGGAAGTTAAAAAACAAATGTCAAATAACTCTCAACGGGGAAGTAAAAGATGCAGTAAATTCATTTTGTGGAAAAGATACACGCGATGATACTGAAAACCATAAGCCTAAGGGTCATGAGGTACTTCTATGTGGGTTAAGGCGCAGTCTCTTAAAAAAGAAAAATTTCACCTTAATACAGGAGACATTCGGGATTTTCTTTATGGGCCATAATGTATTCCATCTTTCTCTCACTCTTTTAATTAATTATTTTTAAAGCACGACTTTCAGACAAGGAGGTACCCTTGCAGGTGCATTCTACACAAACTGACCATCAAGAAACAAGACGTTAGTTTTACAGCATCAACTTTATTCAGCTATTATTACAAAATGACTGTTTGTGGGACAAGAAGGGCATCCTACAGTCAAAGGGCAACAAACACGCCAACAAAGCTCAGAATCGATACAAGAAACAAGTGAGAGTGCAGAGGCGAGGCGGCCGAGAAGCCCGGGCGCGGAGGAGAGCGAGGCTGGGTTCCGACCCCGCGCCCCCGGCCGAGCCGGGCCCGGCAGCCGCTGGGTCGTAGCGCGTTGGGGGCGTGGGCTGGGCGGGAGGAGGCGGAGGAGGGCGGGGAACGCGCACGCCGCGTTCTGCCTAAGGCAGGCCGGAGAAGCTCCGCACGAAAGGCCGCAGGCGGCGGCGTGAGGGGCCCGGGATGCCGGCAGTTTGCGGGTCGGGAGGGGAAGCCTGAGAGAACCCGGGAGAGAGAGAAGGGACAGGAAGTTCCGTACCGCCATAGAGCCACTCTTCCTCCTCATCCCCTCCGGTCCCGCCGCTCAGCTCCGACACTAGGCGCTCGACCTCGCCGGCCGACATGGCCGCCCCGAGCACAACTTAAGGGCGGTGATCAACAGCCCCCTCCAACCCCTTCCCCTGCCTCGCTGACCAGGGGCTCGAGAGGGGCGCGAACCCGCCGGCGAGCGGACGAAGGAAGCACGAGACTGAAATCCAGGGCAGACAGCCGCGGAGGCGGCAAAGCAGACGACTCCGGCGCCGCTCCGCCGGCGCACGCGCAGCAGCACCCCAGCGGCGCGGCGTCTCTAGGTGGCTTCACTTCCGCGGCGGCCGCCACCTGAGTCTGGGTGCGCATGCGCACCGTGGCTGGCCCGCCCCCCACGGGATCCCGCCGGCCTTTTTGCGTGGCTTTCTCTAGTGACGCTCTACGCTGGCTCAGCTTCCCCTCCCCCAATCTCGGCTCTGGTGACTTGCCTTTCTACCGCTGGCGCGTACGGCCTTCTTACTTTCTGCCTTCTCTTCTCTACCGGTTTTGATTTGTTTTTCTAAATCTTCCGAAAGGCGTTTCATTTTTCACTTGTATCAGAAGTGATATAAAATCGTTATCCTGTCAGTCCCTGTTTCTCATTAGAGAAGAAATCTAATTCATGCTCACTTTCTTGAAAAATAGTTTTTAACAGTAAACAAAAGGCAAACCAAAAAATGAAGAATGCGTTCTCCTTGTCAAAAAGACCTCATCCACCACCCTCCTTTCCAGACGTAGGTCTTGTTTTTCTGTTTCATGCGCAGCATTATGAAATTTTATACATAGTTGTTTCAAGTATATTGTTGTGGAAAACCCTGAGATTAATGAGCCTTGAAGTGTGCAGAACTGTACATATTATTGTGTACTTCTTTTGTTTGCCTTTTTTTTTTTCTCAGCAATGTCTTGAAGATCTTTTCCGTGCTCGTGTATATCAAACTGTCCATTTCTTAAGTGCTTGATGATATTTTTTTTTTTCTTTTTTTAAACAGTTATTGACTATATGCTGTTTAAGAACTTGGGAGATAAAAATAGGAGTAAAACACAGCCCTCCACCCCCACCGTTAAAGAGCGCTCAGTTTTTTGAGAAAGTCGGAAGGGTGGTGAAAAATTAACTCTCCTACAAGGGAAAACTGGGTCTTAAGAGAAGCATAAAATGTTTTTATATCACCAATGCCACCCCATCTTATGTTATTTAGGTCATGTGGCTTTTATCCTCATTACTGTTAAATATTGGGCTTCTCCGCAGGCTCAGTGGTAAAGAGACACAGGTTCCATTACTGGGTAGGGAAGATCCCCTGGAAGAGGGTTGCCATCAACCCACTCCAATATTCTTGCCTGGAGAATCTCATGGACAGATGAAGTTGGCAGGCTGCAGGCTAAGGCCGCGAAGAGTTAGACCTCACTGAAGATTTCGCATGCTTGTGTGCACCATTGAATGTTCCTCTATTGCTATTCTCAGTCTCCCTTATCTGGAGAGGTTAATCCCTTGCATATTTCTGAAGTCTGTTGAGATACAGTCAACTTTTAAAATCTTTCCTGAACCGCATTTCTTTATCCTATAAATAGGGAGGGCCTACCAAGTTCTGAAGACACTTCTAAACTATGTAAATTCAGCAGTGAGTAAAACAAAGTCCTTCCTCTCATGAAGCTTTCATTCTAATGAGAAAGATAATAAACAGGTAAATGTACAGTATGTCAAATGGTGATAAGGATGATACAATAGGCAGGAAAGGGGGACCCAGAGAAAAGTGATGACGAGGAATGAGACGTCATGTTATGTGGTAGGAAAGTCCACCCTAATGAAGCCGTAGAAGAGTAGAGACCTGAAGGAAAAGAAGGAAACTTGTGAATTTCTGGGAGAAGCCTTAGCAGATGGAGAGAATAGCGTGTGCAAAGACATGAGGCAGAAGCATACCTGGGGCATTCAAGGAACTCAGAATATAGCTGGAGTGGGAGGAGGGCTGGAGGATGAGGATATACAGATGAGATTAGAGTTATTCTGGAGTGGATAGTGCAGAGCTAAACACTCCTTTCTGTACACTGTGCCGATTCAGTGGCATGTGTCTGTCACATCATGTAGTGATTTTTTAACTATGTATCTATTTTCCTAAGATTCTTCACCATGTCCTCTCTCTAAAAGGGCATCATCTTACGTGTCATTCTAATTCCTGGTGTTGTGCCTAGCACTAAGGAGATCTTGGCCTCTGCTAACAGTAATGAAATAAAGATTTTACATTCTGCTTGAGAGTTTCATAAGGTGATCACTCACAGTCCTGTCTATTTCTATTTTACCACTCAATAAGTCTGTAACAACCTTTGATAGTTTCATGGGAGGCAAACTGCCATTTGCTAAGGAGCCTCTTTATCCTTTCAGCTGCCTGAAATGAGCTTTTCTTTCAAGGCATTGGTTAAACTGAACTGAAGAACTGATAAATAATAATCAATGTATCAGAATCACCTTCATGGTGGAGGTAGCAGTTGAGCTAAGCTTTGAAAATACAAATTTTCACAAGCAGAGAAGCCCATAAATCACTAATAGCTACTCTTTAAAATATCACTTCCTTTCTTGCTTGCAAACTGAGTTCTTTGCCTGGATACACTTCCTTGGTTAAAGGTATCTTTGTCTCCTACCAGGGGAGACTTAAAAGATAGGTAGCTTGAAGATGTTATATAAAATTATGCTTTTATCAAAATTATAACATCAAAATTATTCCCTCACTGGCTTCCCTTCTTCTGCAGATCCAGAAATGTTGCTCAGAGATCTGTCCATCACCCTCATTGTCTTCGGTCTTCTTTATGCACAAGCAATCTCAAGCACATCCATTTGCTAATTACTCCCAAGTTACTAGAATTTTCTCCAATCAATAATCAAAATCTGTTTACCGTGATACATGTTTCCACCTGGATGTCCCATGGTACTTTTAAAACAACAAGTCCCTACACCCAATAGAAAGACTACTATCAAAACAATAACAATAACAGAAATAACAAGCGTTAGCAGGAATGTGGAGAGATTAGGATGTTTTTACACTTTTGGTGGGGATATAGGGGACGACAGAGGATGAGATGGTTGGATGGCATCACCGACTCGATGGACATGAGTTTGAGTAGACTCTGGGAGTTGGTGATGGACAGGGAGGCCTGGCATGCTGTGATTCATGGGGTCGCAAAGAGTCGGATGTGACTGAGCGACTGAACTGAACTGAACTGAACTGAAAATGGTATCCAGCAGCTATGGAAACAGAGGGTCCTCAAAAAAGGTAGAGGATTACTGTATGATTGAGCAATTCTACTTGCGGGTATATATCCACAAGAATGGAAGGCAGAATTTTAAAGAAATATTTGTATACCCACGTTCCTAGTAGGATTATTCACAAATGCCAAAACATGAAAGCAATCCAAATGTCTATTGACAGGTGAATGAATGAACAAAATGCAGTATACACAATGGTGTATGCAGGGGGCTATTCAATCAGTTCAGTTGCTCAGTCGTGTCTGACTCTTTGTGACCTCATGGACTGCAGTATGCCAGGCTTCCCTGTCCATCACCAACTCCCAGAACTTGCTCAAACTCTTGTCCATCAAGTCGGTGAGGCCATCTAACTATCTCATCCTCTGTTGTCCCCTTCTCCTCCTACCTTCAATCTTTCCCAGCATCAGGGTCTTTTCCAATGAGTCAGTTCTTCGCATCAGGTGGCCAAAGCTTTAGAGTTTCAGCTTCAGCATTGGTCCTTCCAATGAATATTCAGGACTGATTTCCTTTAAGATTGACTGGTTTGATCTCCTTGCAGTCCAAGGGACTCTCAAGAGTCTTCTCCAACACCATAGTTCAAAAGCATCAATTCTTTGGTGCTCAGCTTTCTTTATAGTCCAACTCTCACATCCATACATGACTATTGAAAAAACCATAGCTTTGACTAGATGGACCTTTGTTGGCAAAGTAATGTCTGCTTTTTAATATGCAGTCTAGTTTGCTCATAGCTTTTCTTCCAAGGAGCAAGCATCTCAATTTCATGGTTGCAGTCACCATCTGCAGTGATTTTGGAGCCCAAGAAAATAAAATCTCTCCATCTATTTGTATGTTTGTATATTTGTATGTAGATGTTCCCCCATCTATTTGTATGAACAGTATGAAAAGGCAAGGGGATATTATTCAGCCTTTAAAAAAAAGGAAATTCTGGCACATGGTATAACATGGAGAAACTTTAAGGATATTACTAAGTGAAATAAGTCAGTCACAAAAAGATAAATATTATATAGTTCAATTTATTTAAGGGGCCTAGAATAGTCAACTCCTAGAAACAGAAAGTAGAATGGTGGTTGCTTGGGTGGGGGGACTAGAAAATTGTTAATAGAGTTTCAGTTTCAGCATACAAAAATGTTCTGAATATTGGTTGGAAAACTGAAAATACTGAACTGTGCACTTAAAAATGGTTAAGATGGTAAATTTCATATATTTTGCCACAGTTAAAAAAACAGAAACAAAAACATGTCCCAGTCAAATTCAGTATATTTATTCTTCAATCTGCTTTTCCACATCTCAGTGACTGCCAGTTACTAGTCACCCAAATAGAAAGCTGGCCATTAATCTGTGATTTTCCTTCTGCCTCTTCCTTTGTAAATCTAGTCACCTGGATTTTGTCTCTATCTTCTTAACATCTCTTCATAAATCCCAGGCTATCTACTCCCTTTATTAGTAGTATTCTTATGTACTGTTTTCCAGAGGTGTTGCTGTTACTTTTTTTTAGCTGCACTTCCTGCCCTAAATCTTACTCCATTCAAATTATTTTCCATTTAAAATATTTTTTCCCCTAAACTGAAGATGTGAATAAATGTTTCTGCTCCTAAAAATACATTAAGGTCCTCCATATTGGTAGGTTCCACATCCATGGACTTTGGATGGAAAATATTTGAAAAGAAAAATCAGAAAGTTTCAAAAAGCAAAACCTGCATTTGCTGTATACCAACAACTATTTACTTAGCTTGTACATCATATTTACAAACATTTACATAGCACTTACACTGTATTAGACATTTCGAGTAACCTAAACCTGATTTAAAGTGCACAGTACATAGGTTGTATGCAAATATTACACCATTTTATATAAGAGATGAGCATATGGGATTTTGTTATTTGTAAGATGTCAGGGCAGGGGCTGTACTGGAACCAAACTTCTAGCATAGGGTTACCAAGAGAAGATTGTACTTTAATAGCTCCCCATTGGCTGCTACTATTTAGAATATGGAAATAAGACTCACTCTAATATAGTCCATTCTTTTCTATATCCTAGCTTCTATTTCTTCATGGGCCTCTCTTTAAAGAAGACACTCAAGCCACAGTAAACCATTTGTAGCTCCAAAGAACATATTGTAAGTTTTCCTAATTCTGTAGCTTTGTTTATGCTTCATTCTTCGCTTGGGCTGCCAGGAGTGCCCTTCCTCATCTTGTACACCAGTTAACACCTGGTTTTCTTTGAAGACAAATAAAAACTTACGTCCTGTATGAAACTTCTTCTGACCACTTCCCTTTTTCCTTTGCTTAGAATTTATTTTTCCCACTTTATAGCTCAAACTTAAAAAAAATTGCTTCTGTAATGTTTTATTGCATTTGCTTGCTTTACTTGTGTGTGTTAGGGAAATTAAAAGTCTTGCTCAGGCTTCAGAAAGTAGGACAACAGGCCTCTGACCAACTTTCGACCTGCTTGCACCCTGCCTGGACTATGAGTCTGCCTGCAAGCACACCAGCTGTTACCAGCAAGTCAAGCAGCAACTTAGATAAGAAAGGGAGAGGGTCTTGGAATTTCTTGAGCCCCTGGGGCTCAAGTAGCGCCTGCAACTGATGATGATATTAGTTTTCAGCCTGCGATTATAAATGGGAGCCCGCCTCCACCCCCCAAACTGCAATCTGAAGTCTCAACCATGGAGTGGATGCACTGCCCAGGACCCTTTCCCCTAATAGGACTCCGGATTGCTGTTACTCAGGACTTCCCAGTGCTGTTCAAGTCGGGATGCAGGTTTTGACCCAACTTGGTGATGTTTATGCCATTATTCTCTCTATTGTTTCTATTTCTTTTCTTTTAATGATTCTATATTGAAATTAAGTTAAATATTAACTCTTAAATATTAAAAATTATTTTGTGTTTAATAAGTGGGTTTTTTTGTTAATGAATCCTTTGCACCTAAAATGAAAGTAAAACTTTCGCCAAACCTTTTACTTCAGGTTATTTTGAGTCCTTTTACCTCAGGTTATTTTGAAGGCAAGGCTGTGGATCGCTTCTATCTCTATCTTCAGTGCCCAACACAATGTATGGAATATTGTACATATGCATTAAAAGTTGGTTGAATGTACTATTTATTATACTGATATGAATTCAACAAACATTTATTCAACATTTATTTAATACCTGTTATTTTCTAGTGCTGGGGAAGCCAAGCTTCTAGTGCCCCATCTAGTAGAACAGATATGTTAAGGAAAACAAGTATCTTAAAACTTACTCCATGATATGGCAAGTACTTAGCAGAGGTGTATATTTTTCATGGATCATGTAATATATCTTATTAGCTCCTGTTTTGGAGCCTAGCTCAGTGATCACAATAAGTGCTTAATAAATAGTGATTGAACAAACTGAACCTATAATGCAATCTGGGCTCAATCTGTTGACTTCATTGTGCAGGCACTTAATGTTATAAGCTAGGAGTGGCTGGAGAGAAATTGAAAAATTGTGAAGGTTTCTGGTGCCATTATAATGCATTGGCTGGATCTGTAGGCAATTGGGCTGGGAGAGGTTTTTAAGCAGAAAAAATGGCTGAACAAGCTTAGTTTACTAGGAAGAAAAATGAATCAAAGGGTGAAGAGCTGGAAAACGGGGAAACGATGGGAGAGGTCACTGCTATTGTCCAGTTGAGTGACGACGGTGGATTAAGGCAGTGAGAACAAAGATGGATGAGGAGAAAGGACTGGATTCTCGAATTTTGAAGCAGGTCAAGGTTTAGTGCCAACGAGAGGAGGGAGGGAAGGTAGAGAAAGTGAAAGCGAAACTGGTATGTGTATTACAGGTTTGTGACCAGTAATGTATGGGATAGTAATCTATAAACAATAAAACCTCACAGTAGTTGGTTGTTTTTAATCTTCTCTGGCCGTTCTTAATTTGGGCAAAGTGGCTGTACGTTTAAAGAGATGTGTTCAAGTCCATGAAAAACATCATATTTCAAATTAGGTTTTATCAGTCCTCAGATTTCTCAAGGAGCAGCGAAGGATAATCTGAACAGAGAGGGAGGGGAGGACAAAATTCCTCAGCTATTTCTTCAGCTCCTTCCCACTTTCACGAACCTAACCTGGCATCCTGGAGGCTCGAAGCCCCGCCCATTTCATCTCAGCCCTAACAATTCTTTCGCGACGGATTTCCTCACTAGCCAATCACGCTCCGTGGCGTCATTACTTTGCGCCACACTGGACAAATCAGAGGCCGCCCCACGTGTACTGTGTTGACTGTCAATGTCTCTTGGAGCCTAATCCCCGGAAGCTGTGAGTTCTGCGAGAAGTTCTGCACTCGGTGCCCCGAGTCTGCGAATTCCCAACAATGAACACTACAGGCGTGCTGTCCTTTACCCAGCAAGCCTGGGAGCAGGTGCTGGCCAAAGCGAAACGGGCCGTGGTCTACCTGGACGCCGCCTGCGCGGAAAGCCTGCACTGGGGCTGCGGGTCCTCGCGGTTGCTGGAGGCGGTGGGGAGCCCTGCGTGTTACCTGCGCGAGTTCGAGCCCGCCGCAGTTGGTGGCGGAGCCGAGCAGCCCAAGGCAGTGTTTGTGTTGAGCTCCCTGCTGAAAGGCCGGGTCGTGGAGACCCTGCGGGACATCATCTGCCGAAGTCACTTCCAGTACTGTGTGGTGGTCACGGCTGTGAACCACGCAGTCCATCTTACGGCTAATCACGTGCCGGCGGCGGCAGCAGCCGAGTTGGAAGGGCAGCAGCCAGTGTTCGAGCAACTGGAGGAGAAGCTGTGTGAGTGGATGGGCAACATGAACTACACAGCCGAGGTGCTGCACGTACCGTTGTTACTCGCCCCGGTAGCTCCCCACCTGGCCCTGACTCCAGCTTTTGCTTCCCTTTTCCCACTGTTACCCCAGGATGTGCATATCCTCAACAGTGCCCGACCTGACAGGAGGAGGCTGGGAAGCCTGGCTGAGGTGGATGCCGCTGCCCTGACCCCCGAGCTGCTGCTGCAGATTCGGTGCCTGGTGTCAGGGCTCAGTGCCCTGTGTGAGCATTTAGGGGTGCGAGAGGAGTGCTTTGCTGTAGGTTCGCTCAGTCGGATCATCGCTGCGGATCTGGCCAATTTTGCTCCTGCCAAGAACAGGAGGAAGACGGCCTCAGGCAGGGCATCAGTGGTCTTTGTGGACAGAACGCTGGATCTCACAGGTAAGTGGCAGTGGCTGTGGGGGCTTCATAACCACTCTCCAAAATGATTCAACCTATAATTAATTTACCTCTTTCACGTGTCAGCCGCTTTCCGGGTGGCTCAGAGGGCAAAGAATCCACCTGCAGTGCTGGAGACACAAGAGATGTGGGTTTGATCCCTGAGTTGGGAAGATCCCCTGGAAAAGGAAATGGCTATCTACCCCAATATTCTTTTTTTTTTTTTCATTTATTTTTATTAGTTGGAGGCTAATTTCTTTACAATATTGTAGTGGGTTTTGTCATACATTGACATGAATCAGCCTTGGATTTACATGTATTCCCCATCCCGATCCCCCCTGCCACCTCCCTCTCTACCCACTCCCTCTGGGTCTTCCCAGTACACCAGGCCCGAGCACTTGTCTCATGCATGCAACCTGGCCTGGTGATCTGTTTCACCCTAGATAATATACATGTTTCGATGCTGTTCTCTCGAAACATCCCACCCTCGCCTTCTCCCACAGAGTCCAAAAGTCTGTTCTGTACATCTGTGTCTCTTTTTCTGTTTCGCATATAGGGTATCATTACCATCTTTCTAAATTCCATATATATGTGTTAGTATGCTGTAATGGTCTTTATCTTTCTGGCTTACTTCACTCTGTATAATGGGCTCCAGTTTCATCCATCTCATTAGAACTGATTCAAATGAATTCCTTTTAATGGCTGAGTAATATTCCATGGTGTATATGTACCACAGCTTCCTTATCCATTTGTCTGCTGTTGGGCATCTAGGTTGCTTCCATGTCCTGGCTATTATAAACAGTGCTTCGATGAACATTGGGGTGCATGTGTCTCTTTCAGATCTGGTTTCCTCGGTGTGTATGCCGAGGAGTGGGATTGCTGCTACCCCAATATTCTTTCTTATCTGGAGAATCCCTGGAGAGGAGCCTGGCAGGCTATAGTCCATGGGGTCCCAAAGAGTTAGACATGACTGAGGGACTGACATTTTGACTATGTGTCAGGTTAAGGAGACAAAGAAGAACTAAATAGACATAGTCTCTGATCTCACAGTTTATGGTCTAGAGGGGGTTAGAGACAAACAAATAGCAATTAAAGTCAACATATTAAATGCTGTAATGGATAAAGTCATCCTTAAGGTGTACTGTCCTGTTAAACAAAAACAACTGCATCTAGCCCAAAGATTGAAAACCTGGACTTATGCTGACACGGAGGAGAACTGTGCACCTGGGAACCTTTAGAAATGTGCAGATATGAGGATTCACAGCGATCCTTCATAAGGAGGCTTTAAGTTGTTGGAGAACTATTACCAGATGACCAAGTTGAAGGAAGCTATATAACGAAACCCAAAAATATTACAGAAAGTTGACTTTCAAACCTCTTTACATGAGTGTTAATGAGGCTGAACTTAAATTTCACCAGAAAATGAGACTAAATAGACTTGTAGAAAATATTTTCAAGTGTTCATTGATTTATTCTTAGTTCTTGTTCTATTGAAGATTGGGTAGTCCCAAATTGTAATAATATTTATACACATAAGTAACAAATGGTACCCTTAATATGTTGTTGTTTAGTTCCCAAGTCATGTCCATCTCTTCTGCGACCCCATGGACTGTAGGCTGCCAGGTTCCTCTGTCCATGGAATTTACCAGGCAAGAATACTGGAGTGGGTTGCTATTTCCTTCTCCAGGGGATCTTCCTGGCCCAGGATTTGAACCTGAGTCTCCTGCTTGGCAGGCAGATTATTTACCACTGAGCCACCTGGGAAGCCCACCATTAAAAAGGTGAAGGAAAAACACTTTCTCATACTTGTCATGAGCATTACTTTCTTTTTTAAAATCTTTTTTAAAAATAATTTTAGATTTATTTTTATTATTTTTGGCTGTCTTGGGTCTTTGTTACTGTGTGGGCCTCTCTCGTTGTGGAGAGTGGGATCTATAGTTGCAGTCCTCGGTCTTCTCATTGTGGTGGCTTCTCTTGTTTCAGAGCATGAGCCACAGGACTTGCAGGCTTCAGTGCTTGTGGCACGTGGACTCAGTATTTGGTGGCTCCCTGGCTGTAAAACACAAGCCTGATAGTTGTGGCTTATGGACTTGGTTGCTCTGTGGCATGTGGGATCTTCGCAGATTAGGGATTGAATCCACTGTCTCCTGCATTGGCAGGTGGATTCTTTGCCACCTAGCCACAAGAGAAGCCCTTTGTATTTATTTTCAAAGGTCAATTTTATTGTTCTCTAATTAGGTAAATGTATGGTTGCTGGTAGTACAGGCTGGCCACACCCAAGTTCAGGGACAATGATCAGGTAACTGATTTTGGTAAGCATTCCCTTCAGTAGATTAACAAAAATGTTGAATGAAGTAAAATAAAATAAAAAAAAAACCCACAATAGGTGCATTTGAGATTTTGATTATAAGATTCATCTTCAGATTATAAAATAGATAGTAGGCTAAATGGTAACAGTGAGATGTAAGCTTAATTATGTGACTTAAAAAACCAGGTGTCAGCCTGTAGGTGTGATTTAAATAAAAGTAATCATTAAAACACCCTTGAATTCTTAGAAGATTAAAAACACCTGATGAGTATATGCTTCTTGAGTTTTTGAGTCATGGTGTATACTGCCTGTGCTTCAATTTCTTTTTGCCCAAAATGTGACATTTCAAATGTTCAGTTCAGTCGCTATGTTGTGTCTGACTCTTTGCGACCCCATGGACTGCAGCACGCCAGGCTTCCCTGTCGGTCACCAATTCCCAGAGCTTGCTCACACTCATGTCCATTGAGTCAGTGATGCCATCCAACCATCTCATCTTCTGTTGTCCCCTTCTCCTCCTGCCTTCAATCTTTCCCAGCATCAGGGTCTTTTCAAATGAGTCAGTTCTTCATAATGGGTGGCCAAAGTATTGGAGTTTCAGCTTCAACATCAGTCCTTGCAATGAATATTCAGGACTGATTTCCTTTAGGATTGACTGGTTTGATCTCCTTGCAGTCCAAGGGGCTCTCAAGTGTCTTCTCCAACACCACAGTTCAAAAGCATCACTTCTTCAGTGCTCAGCTTTCTTTATAGTCCAACTCCCACATCCATACATGACTACTGGAGAAACCATAGCTTTGACTAGATGGACCTTTGTTGGCAAAGTAATGTCTCTGCTTTTTAATATGCTGTCTAGTTTGCTCATAGCTTTTCTTCCAAGGAGCAAGCATCTTTTAATTTCATGGCTGAAATCACCATCTGCAGTGATTTTGGAGCCCCAAAAAGTAAAGTCTGTCACTCCTTCCATTGTTCCCCATTTATTTGCCATGAAGTGATGGAACTGGATGCCATGATCTTAGTTTTCTGAATGTTGAGTTTTAAGCCAACTTTTCCACTCTCCTCTTTCACTTTCATCAAGAGACTCTTCAGTTCCTCTTCACTTTCTGCCATAAGTGTGGTGTCATCTGAGATTATTGATATTTCTCCCAGCAATCTTGATTCCAGCTTGTGCTTCATCCAGCCCAACATTTCACATGGGATGTACTCTGCATAGAAGTAAAATAGGCAGGGTGACAGTATATAGCCTTGATGTACTCCTTTCCCAGTTTGGAACCAGTCTGTTGTTCCATGTCCTGTTCTAATTGTTGCTTCTTGACCTGCATACAGATTTCTGAGGAGGCAAGTCAGGTGGTCTGGTATTCCTGTCTCTTGAGGAATTTTACAGTTTGTTATGATCCACACAGTGACATACTGTTTCATAAATCAAGATTGCTTCTCTCCCTGCCCTGCCCCAAGACAGTTAGGCAAACTTTAATGTCCTGGCCATCTAGCATCATAGCAACTACTTTTTTTAAATATAATATGCATCTCTTCCTTATATACAACTTCTAGATCCAGAAAAAAACAAGGAGAGCATAGCTTCTGCCCTCTGAAAGCTCCCAAAGCAAAGTTATTAGGAATGATTTAGAAAATAAGGGTATGTTGGAAGGCCTAAGTTGCCAAGCCTCCCGATCTCCTGATATTTACCCCTCAGATTTCTTGCTTTTATATCACTGAGAAAATATGAGCCATCAGGAAGCTTCTGTATCTTCCCATCACCAAATCTACCAACCTTTCTACATCTACAGCCATGTATTTCTCTCTCCTTCCTTCATATTAAAATGAGATGTATTGTCTCTGCTACTATCTAGTGCCAACTTTTCCTCCTTTGCAGACTAGATCTTTTCCTTTCTCACTCCTCTCATTGATTGACTTCTTTCAAATATCCTCCCCCTTTCCTAGATCATAATTTTTTAAAAATGTCTTTTCTACCAGATTTTTCCCATTAGCATGCACACAGAATGGAACATCTCCTTTCTTAACCCCTCCAGCTCCTGCAACTTCAGATTCATTTTTGCTCCATTTTACAGCAAACTTAAAAATTTGTCTATTCTTGCTATCTCTACCATCCTCTGCTCAGTTTTCCCTTGGCTTCACTTATTTTAGGCTTTACTCGCCTTGATACTCCTCAGAAATTTCCTCTGTCAAGATCACCAGTGGCCTCCATGTTGCCAAATCCAATGTTCAGTTATGAGGATTCATTTTAGTCAGTCTCAAAGCATCATTTGTCACAGCAGAGTAGAGGATGCATATTATTAAAAAATAATATGAATACAAATATTAAAGAAATACAGAAGATATACAGATAATGCAGTTTCTTGTGTAATCCCATCAGAACATAAAACTGATGCTTTATTTGCTTGCTCACAGTCCTTCCATCAAATCTGGGTTCCTTAGCATTTTTTTCAAGAGCATACATGACCTGCCTGTGTGTACTTGGCCCACCTCAACCCTAAATGATCTCCCGTCACACACAGCTTTCTCGGCACACTGGCTGCCTCGCGCTTCCTCAACATGCCAAGTGCGTCCCAGCCTCAGGGCCTTTGAAGTCCTGCAGATCAGCTTGGAATGTTCTTCCTTCAGGTATCTGCATGGCTTTCTCGCTCACTTCCTTCTCAGACAATCCTTCCCTGACCACTTTCTAGAGACATTCTCTAAA